AGGGACCGTCCGCCGAATTGCTGCCGAATACTTGGACGTGCCGCCCCTCTCTGGAGCGGCCGCCCCAAGTACCTGCTTGACAAGCTGGTGCCTGGAGCCGGCCCTGATAAGTACACACAGTCATATGCTTCTCTCCCCTTATCCAGTGTGGAGAAAGCAGAATGGCCCTAATTGTACAGAAAACATTCAGTGCTATGCTGATGAGAAAGATACTGACTCAGGGTCTCTTCCCCTCTTCTTATTAAGTTTAGAACTTAAACGAGCGCATAGCTACAGGTCAGCACAAACTCTTTCTATATTCTGTTGCTAGTAAACACACAGATTTAAGATGCCTGCAGCCATTCCATGTTATTAAATGATTCTGGCCATTTAATGAAAATACATATCATCTTTTCCTTCCATGTATTAGAAATGTTCTGTTACACTGTTGTTAAGCAGAAAATGAGGGTACACTACTGCAAATCCTTTCTTAGCCCAGGATAATGATTGAGAGGTGTCAACTCATGTTGAATGTATTGTGGTGCACTGGAACTAGAATGTTGATAGGCAAAATAGAGGTCTAGAAAGAATCAGGTTCCAGTATGGAATAAGCAGGTATGAAAATATTTTCTGACACCAATGATGGAGATAGTTCTAGGATGGAAAAGTTCTGTCACAAATGTGTCTCACCCACCTGTCTTAGCAGTGCTGAACTTTCAGCTTCATCCAGGGCCGCCCACGGGGGGCAAGTGGGGCAATTTGCCCCGGGCCCCGCAGGCCCTGGCCCAGTGGCAGTCCGGGTCTTCAGTGGCATTTCGGCAGCGGGGGGCCCTTCGGTGCTGCAGAAGACGTGGAACGACTGAAGGGCCCTCCGCCGCCAAAGACCCAGACCGCCGCCGGGTGAATACAAGCGCCATAGCTCCCCCGATTTGCCCCGGGCCCCCTGAATCCTCTGGGCGGCCCTGGCTTCATCATCCGATAAAGCCTGCTCAATATGTCTCTGCTATGTGAATTTGTTTTACATGTCCATTGTTGAGGTTGATGGATTTCCACTCCATATGGCTAAATTTAGTGCCTTTCATGGTATCAAGTATCAGGGGGTAGCCGTGTCAGTCTGTATCTACAAAAACAACAAGGAGTCTGGTGGCATCTTAAAGACTAACAGATTTATTTGGGCATAAGCTTTCGTGGGTAAAAACCTCACTTCTTCAAATGCACCTAATGAGGCTTTTACCCACGAAAGCTTATGCCCAAATAAATCTGTTAGTCTTTAAGGTGCCACCAGATTCCTTGTTGTTTTTGTAGATACAGACTAACACGGCTACCCCCTGATACTTGATGTCCATTGTGTATGCTGTTTTTAGCAGGAACCATTTAACACTTGTAGCACAGGTATAATCTAGAGCTGCTTGTCTCGGTTTAAAATGTCAGCTGTTGACTCTCATTTCTCTACCTGTTGTCTTATGCCTACATTGTTATCATTGTTGACTGACATAAAAAAAAACAAAAAACCTTTGACTCCTAGTTTCCACACTGCATTACTGGAGATAGCAACATTATTTCCTATTCCAAATATACATCAGAGTAGTAAGTTGTAACTCAGTTATTAAATGTCTTTTTTCAAGGTATGCAGTGTTGTTGCAGCCCAGGATATTAGCGAAACAAGATGGTTGAGGTAATATATTTTATTGGACTAACGTCTGTTGGTGAGAGAGACAAGCTTTTGTCAGTTTAGAATAACAGGATATAACATCCTCTCTGCAGCTTTCATACACCTTACAAGGGGGTTTGGTTGAGTATCAGGCATGGAGCACCATCTAATATCAGTATGGCACCTGTGCAACTCATGCTGCCATTGCTTCAGGTACAGAGAAGGCCCAAAGATAAAAGACTGGAACCCATTTCCATTATTTAGCAGGAAGTCTAATCCAAATGCAAGAGCAGTTGTAAATGACGACCCTCTACAGACCTTAGACCATTGTCCTATTTAGAGGTTTCCTTTCCTATACCTCTTACCCTTGAAACAAGAGTCTGGATGTAGGTTCATTTATTACAGTAATTAACTTAAAAATGCAACAAATATCAAGGATATGTTTTTAATTAGTATTTTGTTCAATTTCAGTTTGTAGGTATTTATTTTAGTGCATAAAGGGCAGGGGGAAAAGACAGAAAATGAATTGTACTCTCATCTCTGACAGATTCACAGAAGCTTCACCACGAAACCTGTCTAAATTTCGGGTACCTCTGGGCCACTCCATAGATTTTTCTTTGAGATAAGTTTGCTGGTAATAGCTTCCAAATTTTCCACCTTCATAAGTGCTTTGTTCTTTGTAGCGTCGAGTGGCTGCTCTTGTGAAGCCAGCGGGTGCAAGTTCAACTGTTGCTCCCTTTTTCCACCCTCCGTTACTTCATATTTTCTCCTAAACAACAGGACACCTCACTCTTCCTCCATTTCACCTGCTCCCTCTGCATTACTTGTACTGATTTTCAGTAGAGCTGATCAAACATTTTCCAGTGGAATATTTTTTATCTAAAAATACTGATTTGTTGAAGTCAAAACGTTCTGTGAAAACATGTTGATTTCAACATTTCATTTTGAAAATTTTATTTTATAGGGGTTTTATTATTTTTAATTTATGTTTTTGTTATACAATTTTTATATTTATAAAATGAATTTAAAATATAAAATAAAATAAAAATTAATACAAAATAAAATATTAACATTTAAAAAGTCAAAATTGAAATTTGATTGTCCCAAAACAAAATTGTGCACACACAAATTCTTGTGGGGAATTTCTACATTTGACATTTGTTCTATTCAGTAAAATACCAATTTAGAAATCACAGAATTTCCCACAAAATTGAAACTTTGTTTCCCAACCAGCTCTGGTATTCAGTCGTTTTTGTTGTTCATCCTTCCATTGTTTTAAAAGGAAATGGAAGATCATCTCTTTTGAAACAAAATGGAAAATATGGGTTTGTCAGTGACTTAGCATATGGCAATGTATTTGATTACAAGGATGGGACATTGTTCCAATTACTCTGCCACCTGGCCGTTGGAGGAATTAATTATGTGAAACACGGAGATGATCCTTTTTTGAACATTTTATTGCCCCTGAGATACTATAAAAATATTGATAGTGGCTAAATATTTGCCAAGTGTTTGCCAAGAGGTTTTATGCATCTTACCTCTGACTGCTCCTGCACTGCCTGTGGGTGTTTTGTGGTATTTCACTTGAGGTAACAGAGTTCATCTACAGGGGGCACCTATCTCCTCTCCCCCACATCACAACCCAGAGGACACAATCCTACTGGGGAGCTTTGCTGTAGTATATGTTTTTATAGTAAGTGCAAATTTGACATCTCTTTTTTCAATGATCCCTATAATTCACAACCTCCCCCATACTGTGCAAAATACAGCAAAATAGTTATACTTAAAATTTGGTTGCAGCACTACAATATATGGTATTTATTTGTTGGTTTGTTTATTTTACAAACCTCTTGCTTTTCTAGTTTAAAAAAATTGCAAAATTTGGTGAATTTAATGGCAAGCATTAATTTTCATATTTAAGAATGAAATGTTTCCAAACAGTATTTCAACTCAAGTTTGTATTGGATTGTTTAATACTAAAACTACATGGGTGCAGATTCCTATTATACCATTCTGACATCTAAATTATATTAATTGCACCCTCATCTAATTGTGCCAACAAACTCTGGGTAAGGACTTTGAAAACAGCTGAATTTTGTTCATGGGTTTGTCAGGTGCAGGTAGGTAATCTCTTGGTTCTAGCCCACGAAAGCTTATGCCCAAATAAATTTGTTAGTCTCTAAGGTGCCACAAGGACTCCTTGTTGTTTTTTCTTGAATACAATGTATCAAGCATGGCTGAAATTATTTTAAATAATGACTACTGACAGTAGTATGTATTCTGTCCAGTTTAAGTGTTTGCATGATTGGGAAATTACATAATACAAATATTTTAGTGTGACCCAGCAAGGTCTGGATTGCTGAGCGCTGAGTGTCACATGATATGAAAAAAATGTAATAGCGATCATAGGCAGTGTCTTATTTATTATTACCTGGCGGTGACTATATTTTATTACCTCTAGAAGTCAATAACTGAAATGTCAAATCTTTTCAGTTGTTTTCATAAGCTGAATCTGGTTAAAATTTATTCTCACTGATTAACATGCTGTGCCCGTGTGTGTATTATACAGTCTTCAGATTCTTATGCCTGATTGTTTTAACAGCCTGATCCTAGTAAAAGAAACAACTTCACAATTAAATCCTGAAAATAGGCGAAAATAGGCTTTCACCATAACCGCTCATCATTGTTACTGTGAATGCTAATGTAATTGCTAGTATGCATGAAAACTTATATTCCTTTTAATCTGATCTTGCAATTATTCAGTAAGACTTTACACATTGAAAAAGAAATATCCAGGAACTCATATTTTACAATAGTAAATATAAAAGTATTAGGCTAGATTTTGCTCTCTGTTACACTCTTAGAACCCAGTGACTTTACTGGGCCAAATTCTGCACTCTGTGATCCCATTTGTGTAGAAATCAGTATGATTGCATGGGGCATTAATTGGCACCATATTTGGCTCAGTGACTTTAGTGGGGTTGGAGAGGTATCAATAGAAACAAAGTCTGTCCCACTGTGTTTTCTTTCTTTCCTTAATTAGGTCCCAGTCCTGCATTTGTCTTCTTCTGGCAGACCCTTGGACCTACATAGAGCTAATCACGGGCTCGAGGGCTTAGAATTTGACTTTTGATAACATTTTTAGATTTTGGAATGAAAGGAGAACTGTAGGTGCCATACTGTAGATCCTGCCGTGATTGTATTTGGCCGAATTGTTCCAGCACTTAACAACATAAGAGTGGCCTTACTGGGTTAGACCAAAGGTCCATCTAGCCCCGTATCCTGTCTTCTGAAATGGCCAATGCCAGGTGCTTCAGGGAGAATGAACAGACCAGGCAATCAATGGAATTGTCTCCCTTTCCCTGTTCAGACACAGAACAGAATGAAATTGATGGCAGACAACTATGATGATGACCATCACCACTTCCACCACCACCACCATCACCACCATCACCGGTCTCCTGGGAGGACCCAGCACTCAAATCACCGACCCTCTCCAGATCAGGTCAGTCACCTCCTTTCTTACCTTCACACTTACCCTTTTACCATTCTGAAATTTCAGGATAAAATAAATCTTCCAAAGAAATAATAAACAATATAAGTGATACGCTTTTTGAACTGAAACTAATAGCTTTGGTATTTATTTCCATCACTCAGTCCTTTCTCTTTCTGTTTGGCTTTTGGTCTGTCTTATAATATTTTTCTTCCCTCTCTTCCTTTTTCTTTTGCTTTAAGCTTTTAAGCAGAGTCCCGATTCAACTGTTTAAATAGAAAGTTACTGAAGAGCTGCTTAGTTACTGCAACTTCACTATTAGGCACTTGCTTTTTGGAATAACTGCTATTCAAAGACTTGGTCAGCATTTCCATTATGAGCTTGTGTTCAGTTGTTCCTAAACTGGCCCCGAAAATATCTTTGAATTGAAACCATTCATTGGCAAATATTGCATTAACTCAGTTTTGGTTGTCTTTAGTAAACAAAATGTAAATGTTTTGGGATATACTTTAGAGTGATTTTCAAAAATGACTAGTGATTCCGGAGGGCCTCAATCTTTGAGTGCCCAACTTGAAACATCTTCAAGAGACCTTTGTTTCAGAGTAACTGTCCTCTGACAATTGGGACCCATTAGTGTGTGTCAGTTTGGACACCCCAAAATTGAGCCACCACCTAAATCACTAATCACTTCTACAAATATCAGAACTTGTTTTTTAAATAAAAATATGCAAGTTTTGTTTATAATAATGATATTAAAATGTTAGTATTTTTACAAAATATGAAAAAATAAAGTAAATCAAAATTACTCAAATGTGATTCCATTTTAATTTTATATTAGCACAATTTCTAGGGAAATGTACATCACCTTGCCTATAATTTTAATACATAATATGGTGTAATTTTATTGTCACCCCAAAAATTTGTCTTTGGGAGGGTTTTTTTTTATGCTGGTTCTGCAATTAATGTTGCTGTAAATAGGCAAATAATTGGTAAGTGTCAAATGTTCAGCTGCTGTAATCTTGGATTGTAGCGATCTGCATAAAGTGGATACTATGACATTAAACTTTATGATTTTGTTGTGTTTAAGACGGATGTGTTCTCAAACAGAAACTGAGGGCTTTTTGTTTTCTGAAATGCTAAGGCCTTGATCCTGCAACGACTCAAGCTCCTGTATCACTTTATGTATATGAGTAGTGCCATTGGAATTAATAGGACTATGCATGTGCATAAAGTTATGTACATGCTAAAGTCTTTGCAGGATTGGGGCTTTGAAGTGGACTTCTGAGAAATGTATTGAAAAGTGCTAAACAGTTTGCAGAATATTTGGGTTTAAAATTACTTGTCTATTTTAGCCCCTGTTTTTATATTACAGTATTATTGCCAAATTATATTTGACCCTAACTGTGTGAAACTATAAGGATTACAATTTTTATTTCTTTTCCTTTATATTATGTTATTGAAATAATTGGTTTTTTTTTTTTGCTATCTGCAAAATCTTTTCCTTCTTATTTTCTTTTTACCTCTGGTTCTCTTCCTCCCCCCTTTTCTCCTTTCCTCACCACTAATTAGAAGAAACTACCTCAGTGGGGTGGAATTGATGAGAGCCAGAGGACCAACATGGCAAAACTCAGCAGCATCTCTTATTGTGCTTCTGCCCTCTGTCTTCCCCTGATGAGACTATACTTAGAAGTAGGCTGAATTGATTAGGATATTTTTGATGCAATATCTTCACATATGATAGTGCCCTCTTTTCTGTTCATAGGATGGTTATTTCACTACTCCTGCACCACGCAGATGCTGCTACGTGATTACGTGACATATTCAGCGACTAGTTTTCCAAACCATTTACCAAGCAGTAAATAAATATTGCTCCCTCCAAGGGAGCAAGAAGGAAGCAGGGGAGGGAGGAATTGTGACTTGCAGTGCCACCCACTTACATCTCTGTTGGTGGCAACTTACACAGGACACCAACCTTTGCTCAGGGCTGTGCTTAGTCACAGTAAGACTTGATAAGAACACAGCCCACACTGGTCGTGCTGCAATTTTGTAGGTTGCACAATATGACTGCAGGTCAAAAGCTGCATTGTAAAGAAGTCACACACACTTTATATTCAGTAAAAAAAATGGGGTCTTTAAAAATAAATATTTAAAATTGGAGCTCTAGATTTTATAAGATTTTTCTACAGACACACTGGTGCTAAAGAATTAACATATCCCTACCAAAATATTATTTAAATGCTACATTTTGGGGAGTCTGATAAGAGCCTGAACTCTTTTCCTTGATTCTCTTCTGCAGAACACCAAAACAATGACGTACTTATTAGAAAAAAGAACAGGAGTACTTGTGGCACCTTAGAGACTAACAAATTTATTAGAGCATAAGCTTTTGTGGGCTACAGCCCACTTCATCGGATGCTTAGAATGGAACATATAGTAAGGAGATATATATACACATACAGAGAACATGAAAAGGTGGGAGTTGCCCTACCAACTCTAAGAGGCTAATTAATTAAAAGAAAATTTTTTTTGTAGTGATCATCAAGATAGCTCATTTCAGACAGTTTGACAAGAAGGTGTGAGGCTATTTAACATGGGGAAATAGATTCAATGTGTGTAATGACTCAGCTGGTATGAAAGAAGGATGCAGGTGCTGCTCAAAGGAAGAGGGAGGGGGCAAAGCAATAGTATGCTCAGACTAGGAAGAAGCGGGTAGGAGTTGAAGAGCATGATGAAGTCATCAGCAACAGGAGGAAGGGTCTGGGAGCAGCTAGACAGGAGAGCATAGAAGAAAATACATAGGAGGAGGGCACAGGGTCTATAGCAGGAGGAGGAAGAGAGCCTGAGTCTGATATCACAATTCTATTGACAATATGGTATTACGCCTGATTTACACTGGTGTATGAGAATGCAAAATCTATTCCAAGAACATTTCATAGTTCATTTATTTTGGCAGGTAAATTAAATAATTATATGAAAAAATTATGTGGTTTGTAAAAACAACCATGAAATATACAAATGTTAAGAAATTGAGAATTTTCAGCCAGTGTGGATGGTAGTATTGTCAATAGTGACAGAAAATGAAGGGGAAGAGGTGAGAGGAAAGGTAAGGAGTTCAGTTTGGACCATGTTAAGCTTAAGTCAATGGTGAAACATGTAGGAGGGGAGAGGCTGAGATGCAGTATTGGGCTGAGGGATTCTGGTCAGATGTAGAAAGGTAGATTTGTGAGACATGCATGAAGACGGTAATTGAAGCCGTATGAGCAGAAGAGTTTGTACAAAGAAAGGATGTAAAAGAAGAAGAGGAGAAGGCAGGGATGGAACCCTACAATCCTCCCATGGAGATGAGAGAGGCTGAAGAAATAGCCACAGAGAGATAGGAGAACTAGCAGAGACTGGAAGAATGAAAGCCCTGGGAAGAGAATAAGATATCATGAAGTACATTGATCAACAGTGTAAAAAGAAAGCAGAGAGGTCCATGAGGATGAAGATGGAGTAGAAGCCTTAAGATTTGGCTGAGAATAAAGTACTTGGAGCCTTAATGTGAGAGGTTTCAGTTCAGAGAGTGAAAGCCAGAGTGGAGGGGTGTCCAAATGGAACTTAGGTCAGTGATGGTAGATGACACATTGACTGAGTTTGGATATGAAGGGAAATTGGGCTTTATTGGAGAGCCTCGGGTGGTGCTGAGGTATTTGAGGATAGAGCAGAACATGTTTGTGAGAGGAATGAACCCAAAGAGAATGAGAGACTGAAGAGGGTTTACAGCTGAGTCATTAGAGAAGAGGGAAGAAGGAACAGAGAAGAGGGCATATGAGCAGTAAAAAAGTCAATACATTGGTGGAGTGGAGGCTGGAGAAGGACTTAGAAGGAGAAGTAGGTGGCAGGTGGGCGATGTTGAAGGAAATCAAGAGTTGGTCAGAGAGAACTTGGACAGTGAGAGGTGAGAAAAATAAGCCGTTTTTGGTGAAGAGAAGATTGAGGAAGTGGCCATTTGAGGGAATGGGAGAGTTGATCCAGAGTTCTATGTCAAGAGGAAGTAACGGTAAGAGTAAAATTCATTGGCTGAAGCATCAATGTGGAAGGTGAAATCACCTTAGGTGAAAGTGGAGGAATGTTAGGTGAAGAAGAGGGAAAGCCAGGTGTCAAATCAAAGCAGGTGGATGGAGAGTAGGTGATGACAGCAGCATGCAGAGGGAGAGAATGAGTGAGAATGGGGGGAGTTGTAAACAGCAGGAACAGGAGAGTAGTAGCCTGATGCCACTATCTGATATTTGGAGTGAAAGGTAAGAGGAGAGGCCAAAAAAGAGCAGCTACCGAGGCAGAGCTGTGGCATAGCAATAGAAATTCTGGTTTCTGTGGATAGGAAGAGATGGAAGGAAGGAGAGATGAGGAGGTTGTGCATAGCAGTCGTCTCTCTTTCGGTGAAATAAGTATTCCACAGTGAGGAAGAGAAGGAGCATAGGAAGGTAATGAAGGTGCAGATGGGTATAAGGTTTGAAGGGGAAGCCACTGGAGTGGAGATGGTGTCAGGGATGGTTGTGGGATTTGAGAAGCTGGTGTCTGGACAGATTATGTCAGAGGCAAGGAGGGGAATTGACAGAGAATGCAGAAGTGAGATATGGACTTGCAGTTGTGTGTGAGCAGGGGACAGAGGGATGAGGGTAGAGTGGGTGAACTTGGAGCAGTAAAGGGGAAGTGAAGAAGGGATGTGTGATAGAGATGACAGGAAGTAAGGGGGAGGAGTGAGATGAGGAGGAAGGGGAGCAGTGAGTCAGAAAAGAGGTGTGATGAGAATGGTAGGACACTAATGAGAGAAGATTATGCAGTCAAGGAGCAGAAGAACAGGAGGTAACAATAAAATGGAGGGTGAATATATCAACAAACCAGCAAGAAAGCACACTGATGGTACAGCAGTTAAACCACAGCAGTTAGTTAATTATGCATCAAGCAAATGAATAGATCCATAAGCTAATCATTGTCAAAAGAATCTCTAACAGAACAGCATGCTAGCTATG